GAGAATATTTAACTGGCTTCTTACAAGTATTTGCATCCTCAAAGCAGTCAAGGAGACCACTGTCCCAGTCTGTCAAGGGTTTTTCTGCCATTGTATGTTGAACTTCACCCACAGACACTGAACGATCACTCTGTGAAAGTCGAGAAGCAGAAAAAGCCAAATTAAATGAAACTCAAAATGTTAATTTTGAAGTTCTTTCTATCAAACTTGTTCACGAGACCTAAGACATTCAAATATTTGTAGCAATGGGAAAGTTTAAGTAGAGAAAAAAAGTATATGTTGTGGACACATGCACATAGATATGAAACCAAAGTGCATGTTAAGGATATTGTGGTCATTTTGTAAGTCGTCAGTTAAGCATGATTAATATATCCATAATTCACAAGACATTTTATATATCAAGGTAAAAATTCTACAGCATTACAGAAAGACACCCCCAAACATCGATAATGAACAAGCATTTGGGGATGAAGGAAGAACAAGCTTTCTATACACATCCAAGTGACTTTAAAACAAACAGCAATACGTGGTTGACATATCTCAAAAGTAAACATCTGAACAGGATATGTAGACTGGTTTGGAAGTGAAAGTATATTACGCTTACAGTTCAGACAGTGTAATCTACTTTAACTGTCCACTACACCAGACAGCTTAGAATTTGGATGTGGTTTGCCTTCGGAAATACTAATAACACACATAACAGTTTACATAAACCTTAGATTTTTACAGTCACACCGTAATGATGACCTCTGTTTCTCCGACCACTAAGTTGATGTAAAATGAATTGAATGAAAACTGGAACATCTTACCTGCTATTGCTGGACACCCTTTGCGCACCTCTGAAACTTAATGAATAAAAGGATCCTTGGCTCTTTTAATAAGGAGTGTCAGTGGCATTTGGGCCAACACAAACAATGCTGCCAAGCCTGAAACTCTGGAAATGGAAACATGAAACTAAAAGTGACTTTCCATTATGTGGTAATCGCGGGGGCGATCGTGGCTCAAAGAGTTGGCAGTTCGTCTTGTAACCGGAAGGTTGCCGGTTTGAGCCCTGGCTCGGACAGTCTCGGTCGTTGTGTCCTTGGGCAAGACACTTCACCTACCGCCTACTGGTGTTGGCCAGAGGGGCCGATGGCGCGATATGGCAGCCTCGCTTCTGTCAGTCTGCCCCAGGGCAGCTGTGGCTACAACTGTAGCTGCCTCCACCAGTGTGTGAATGTGAGAGTGAATGAATAGTGGAATTGTAAAGCGCTTTGAGGGCCCCGAAAAGCGCTATATAAATGCAATCCTATTATTATTAATAACTGCATTCCAGGTGGTTTTTAAAGGAAAAGCAAAAACAACTGAAAAGGGTGCTTATTATAAAAGAGAGTCCTAAGTGGTAAAAGAAAAATAAACAGTTAAGTGTTATTCAGTTGCTTTTTGGAACAGGAACTAATAATTATAATTATCATGTTTTTCTTCTTATCTTAAGAATCCTCAAAATGCCGATCTGTAACTTTGATACATATGTGACCACACCATGCCAGTGTTACAAACGTAGGGAATTGATAAGAATTTAGCGATTCTTATTCCAACATTGATATCCCTCATTGATTAAAATCCTTATTGATTCTTGTCAATGCAAAATTGTATTTAGTAGTCAGTATAATCTTTTAATGATATAAGTTTGCATATGGTAGAATACTGCATGTAATCATTTGTGTTTAGAAGTATCATAAGGCTCTGAGTGTAGCGATGATTGAAAGAATGTCTCATCTCTAGGGAGGATCTGTGAACATTCCAGAGGTGTTCTGGCGTTCACCCCCACATCCTAAGGAACATGGAGAGGTCGTAAACCTTGTTCTATTGTTCATCTACGGTCAGGATTACACGTGGCTATGTCAGTTTTAGTCACAGTGCTTCTTTTACATATAGATAAACTGTTGGATTTTCCAGACCAGCAGGTTAAGGGAAGTTGTTTATGGGGTCACACTCTGTCCACACACACACACATTGGCCACACACACACACACACACACACACACACACCACGTACACCTCCACATTCCAATGTAAAGAACAAACGCTCACTGAAGTATAAATAAAGACCGGGGCAGTTTCTCAGCGCGAGTCTCAGTTCTGGAGGCTGCCCTTGCTAGCAAGAAGTTCTGTGTGTTTCTCTTCTCTGACTCTCTACTGAAGAAGTGTTTTAGAGTATACCTCTTAACAATTCTCATTTGCTCCAGTTTGAGAGTCACCACCATCTCTAAGTAGCATATCAACGACATTACATTCATGCAAACTAATTACACGGTGCGTGGTCAAATGTTTGTGAATGTTGTTTTCCCTCTTTGTTGTGATCAGTGTTGGGGTCATAACTCCGAAATAGAAAAGTAAAAAAGTTGTTACACATATTACACAGAACACTTTTCTTAAAAGTAGTGCAGTATGTTACTTATTACACCCATGAGAAAGACATGTTGTACTACTCGTTGTTACTTTCCTGTTACTATGTAAAATGATTTGAAACACAGTGTCTCATAATTGTGTGGATGCCGTAGGCAAAAGTGGTATGACTTTTGGTGCTCATAACTTCTATACTTTTTGAGATATTGAATTTTTTTTGCAATATTTTTTGCCTATTTCTGCATATTATCAGTGGCCTCACTGATTTTCCTTGCCGGGTTGACCTGTGTTTTAGCTCAGTGAGATGAGCATCCGTTCTCGGAGTGGGAGGCCTGGGTTCAAATCCGCTTATGGCAACATTTCTTTCAGTCAACAGTTAAACTTTTTTAACTCTTTTCAACACAAATTTAAGCTTTTTCACCCCTTTTCAGCAAAATTTTCAGTTTGTTCACTACTTTTCAGCACAAATACCAGCTTTTTCAGCTGTTTTCAGCACAAACCTCTTTTCAGCAGAATTCTGCTCATTCAACTCTTTTCAGCAGAAATTTTGCTGATTGAACTCTTTTCAGCAAAATTTTCAGTTTTTTCTGCTGTTTTCAGAAAAAAACTCTTTTCAGCAGAAATTCTGCTGATTCACCTCTTTTCTGCAAAGTTTTCAGCCTTTTCACCTCTTATCAGCACAATTCTCAGCCGCTTCTGCTCATTTCAGCACAATTGTCAGTCTCTCCACCACTTCTTTGTGAGAAACAGTTTGGCGCAGTGAGATGAATAGCCACCTACAGACCAGAAGGGCCAGGTTCAAATCCTGCTCAGGGCAACATTTTTTTTTTAACGTAGTATCTCTGCCAAGTCATAGAATTACTGCAATTTCATAGTTTTTTTAGGAAATCTGTTATGTTATAGTATTACTACTAAGTCATAGTATTTCTGCCAAATCATAGTCACTAGGGGGCTGACTGTTTACTAAGTGCATCAGTGTAAATAGGTCATCTCTTGTGTTGGAGTGCCCTCTTGTGGCGCCTTTTGGTTAGTGCCTTAGTAAACGTGAACCAAGCAAAAGCCTATTTTCAGCAGAATTCTGCTCATTCACCTCTTTTCAGCAGAAATTCTGCTGATGGAACTCTTCAGCAGACTTTTCAGAATTTTCACCTCTTTTCTGCCCAAATTCTGCTTATTAACCTCTTCAGAAAAATTTTCAGCCTTTTCACCTCTTATCAGCACAATTCTCAGCAGCTTCTGCTCATCATTCAGCACAATTGTCAGTCTCTCCACCTCCGCTTTGTGAGAATGACTTTGGCTCAGTGAGATGAGTAGCTGCCTTGAGACCAGAAGGGCCAGGTTCGAATCCTGCTCAGGGTAACATTTTTTTCAACTTTTTCAGCTTTTTTCAGCAGACATCTTCAGCGTTAAGGCATCCACACAGCATTTTGGCAGGAAATGCAAATTTTTCTAGTTGCCAATTAACATTATAAACCTGTGGCTACAGCCCCACACACCAACACTACTCCCTGTCCTAATGAGGACACACATGTTCTTTCTCTTAGTATTTAAGTATGAACGCAAAGCCGACAACACAAAGCAAAGATAAAAACCACCACGGAGAGACTTCAAAGCAATGATTCTACTTTATAACCATGATGATGAACGTTAGATAGAAAGCATTTACGTAGAAAGAGCTTAGAAAGAAAGTGCTTGTGTGAATGGGTGAATGAGGCAAACTGCGTAAAGCGCTTTGGAGAGCTCAGATGCAGTAGAAAAACGATATATAAGAACCAGTTCATTTACCATAACCGTCCCACAACCTGGTCAAGGAATGGGCTCAGCCTCGACAAAGAACTTATTTTCAAAACTAGTTCCCCTCTTCCAGCTGTTTAACTTTATCCTTGAATGCTAACTGTTAAACATCAGGGATCACCCGAAAATTTGCAGTATTTAGGGGTTTTAAGGGTTTTCCCTCGAAACCTTAGACTTCCTTGCCACACTGATGAGCTTTGTCATTCCTCATATCAGGGTCTTTCATAAGGAGAACTATTCTAGTCAATGAGGAAACAGAAGTCTGTCAACAGTTTTAGTTGTGAAAACACTGATCAATGGGCAGATCTCTGCATCATGTTCTGGTTTGACCAGATCAAACATACTTCATGTCTCAGATGTAAATAGCTGCTGTTAGAACTTCAGGAACCAAGGATGAGTGAAAAAACTTGTCTTGGTGTACTTGCTGGTGTACTTCTCATGTATTTACTTGCAGACTTGCTGTTATTCGCCCTGTCGCAATGTTAGCTAAGTTGTGATCCTTTGAAACATGGTGCCACTGAGTCTGTGTAGTGGAAGTACTAATTCTTGAGACTTTTTTGGGTACATACATTTAAAACCTTCGTGAAGAGTCATTGGTGTAATATAAAGCGTGCAACTCAAGCCTCATCAAGGCACCAGCTTGGTTTTTACCATGATGAATCCAATGTAGCGCTGTCTGTCTCCATTAAGAGCAAGGGCAGCGTTGATGAAATCTGTAATTTCAATCAACAACTCATCTGAGAAGAAACAGTGCTTTTGTTGCTGCATTGAGAACAGAGGCAATGAGACATAAGGTCTGGGTATGTACAGGAGTTCAACCTCTAAAAGGGACTCTTTCTGTGCATTCCATTTCTTTTCTTTGGCAGTCACATGGATCAGTGGTAAGGTCTTGGATGTTAGCCATGCACTGTACAGTGATGTACAGCTATAGAGGATGCGCCTGATAAATGAAGGACCATTCTTGCTTAGAAGCCTGGAAGATTAAGGTCTCATATTCAAGGATCCAGCTTAGTCCAAGGCCACATTGAAGAGGTGAAGAATATGTCCCTATGTCTGTGTCTGAAGACCTTTGCCAGGTCATCAGCTGGCAGTTTTGTGTAGCTGTAAATCTGACTTAGCTAATGTCTTCTGTATTTTCTTTAAAAGCCTGACAGCCTCAATTTCTGTCAGGAGTGAGGTCCGATCATCATCAGCGTAAGCATTCCAGATAACAAATTCCTTTGGTTCTGCTACTCTGGTTCTCCTGCTCGAACTTTTCTTAACCCATAGTTGACTGATTATTTGATCGTTTTGTTCAGGGTTTAGTTCTTTACATCAGTATTTATTGTAGCTTGAAGAGTTTCTCGTGTGCAGAGGTGTTAAAGAACTATATTCCTGGTGCACAGACGGTAACTGAAATGTTGACTATTGAAAACTGCCTGTTTCATTACTTGTGTTGGTCCACCATCTTGTGGTGTATTTAAGAACTGTTTTTAATATATTTTTGCATTCTTAGCACAATAAGGAGAATGCATTTCCTTAACAGGACTGTAGTGTGAATGTAGGGGTAGCTGTAGCTGTAGCTCAGGTAAGCAGTTCGATCTCCGTGTCCTCCAGTCTGCATGCCAAGTGTCCTTGACGAGATACTAATCCCAAGTTGCTCTCCGGTGCGTCCATTGGAATATGAATGCATGTGAATGTTAGATAGAAAGCACTTACATAGAAAGAGCATTTAAAAAGATTACTGGTGTGAATGGATGAATGAGGCAAGCTGTGTAAAGTGCTTTGAGTGCTCAGAGTAGAAAAGCATTATATAAGAACAAGTCCATGTGTGGGGCCTGTTGCTCTGACCTATGCAATACAAATATTTCTTATTTGCATTGTAATATCTTGTTGTTGTTTTTTTGTTCCTGTTCTCAGAAATCACACCATGTCAAACCCTTGTACACAGTCACAGTGAAAATACAACTCGGAATAGCTTACATCGACAGTGAATTAGCATTACTTCCATAACAAGTTAGGACACACTCATATCCATACCAACATAGCATATTCAGCATAGAACAGACAAGTGTTTTATAGACCTGCAGGACATTTCCTAAAGGGTTGTTTATTGATAAAAAATAAATTTAGAGTAATTCCAGACTAGGGATCAATATTGCTACTCTTCAACTAGCAGCATTCACAGACCGGGGTGAGGTGACTGACAGTTAACATCTTTTTAATATTTAATAGATACTAAGAATCATCACGAAAACACGCACGCACACACACGTTGGGTATTCATATCTTGTGGGGACATATAATTGACATAATGCTTTCCCTACCCCCTTACCCTAACCCTAACCATGAAAAATGAATGCCTAACCCTAAGCCTTACCCAGTGGCGGTCCTAGCCTGTTTGGTGCCCTGGGCGAACACCCCCTCTGGCAACGAAACAGGAAATCATTCCTGCCTGTGGCCATCTCACTCTACAACTCCTCCATCTAGTGGAGATATCATCTGAATTTCAGGAGCGGGACCACTCCTCCTTCACGCCCCCTCCGGCCTCAGGCTATAAACCCCCCCTTCTCCAATACCTTCTGTTTTCATTTTCATGCCCCACCCTGCCCCCCCCCTTTTCTTTCCTCTCTTCGCTTCTCCTCTCCTCTCTTTCTTTCCTCTATTTATTTCTCGTTAGTACATGGGGATCTGCCCGGCCCGAGAGCCGTCGCCAGTCCCCTTCAAGGCCTTCCCCAAACCGCAGCACTATTCACACTTCCTCATCCCCATTGTTACCAAGGATGTGGTCCCTGCTAGTGAAATACACTGTAAACACTGCAATAGTTACAGCCATTTTACACACACTCTTTTCTACTCTGTAATGTTCTTGTCAATTTTCTTGATATTTATTTATAATCACTTCTGTTCATTCTTGATATTTATAATTGAGTGATCTGTATATATTAGTGCTATTTCCTAAACGTGTAAAATCTGTAAGACAATGTATTGTTTGGAGTTGGTCTGTTACTGTTACTATTTTTAGTTCTATTTTTCTTCTTGGATCAAATGTAACCCTCATAATTTCCTTAGGGATTAATAAAGTATTCTGATTCTGATTGTTTCAGGATGACCTGCCATTATCCAATGACACATCTGCTTACCTGCATCTTTTGCTCGTTTCTCCTCCTCTTCTTTTCTCTTTTTTCTAAACTGAGGACCTGATGGCTTTGAACTTTTCTTGTCCATCTTCCATTGGTTTTAATTTTGCACTCCAGTATGAACACCCATCCCTCAACCCGAGGATCACCACAGCATAACCTAATAGACCTTAGTTCACAGATTCACTTTGTCTAAGGTTTATTTCTGGGATTTCGCATAACCCAGGATTCAAATCATGAATACATAATGGGCTTGGATTTACAACATTATGAATGAAATGTGCTCTATTTTGTAGCAGGGTTAGTTTGATGCTTTTTTGTTCTTTTTCCAGATTCAGTCTTTTGTGTTCTGCTAACCTGTATTTATTTATTTATTTATTTATTTATTTATTTATTTATTTATTTATTTATTTATTGTTGTAGCAGGAACTCTGAGCTCTTGTCTTTGTTTAAATGGAAATAATTTGGACAGACTGCATGACATCAAACATCAGTATAAAGTCTGAAAGAAAAGTTTTATGATGGACTTTTGCCATAGTTGGCTACAAAAATGAGCCCTGAAACTTTGATTTCATCTTTGTATCTGATTTCGTCATTTTACTATTTTTTACCAAATGAATCTCAGAACTATAGTGAATCACCAATTCTCACTATCATCATCATTTCTCAAAATATAACTGTTAAAAGAAAAAATATTGAGGATTATTAGGAAAATAATACAAATAATTGATCATACAATTCAATTAAAAATTATTAGAGGCTCTGATTTCACTGATAAATACATTAAAGCTAACTCAGAGCAGTGCCACTGTGAGTACATAACACCTCCTGGGTTAAGCAACAAAACCAGCTGTGGGTGGTTGTGCAGACACCATCACCGCTGGTAGCTGGGCAACTGGAACAGGCTGCATGTTGTAAACAGTGTTGTTCTCTATAGTGATTACAGTCGGGGTTTTCTTGCGATGCTTTAACTCACGATGCATCTGACACCAGGAGCATAAGGCACAGAAACAGGAAACTGCAATGTCCTTACAGAGAGAGCCCTGCAGAAAGAGAATACAAGCATTACTTTGCTTTTTCTTTCCACTTTTAGTTCAGAGTATGTCATCGTCTTGCGCTTTATACCTTGATGCCATATCTGTTTCGCATGGCAGCCCTTACAGACAAAACTGCTGGTGGAACACAGAGGGGTATCCCACAGGCTGCCAATGCAGCAGGACCAAGTATGTCACATAAAGGGAGACAGTAGTTCTCTCCAAATCTTCCTGAAACGGTGCAGGCGAGGCAGGGGCCGCACCAGAATCCATAGCAACCTGAAAAACACAGAAACACGTCAATAAAGTGGCAACAAGTCTCAAAAGATGAAGACGATACAAATGAGAAAAAACCTGTAGTCCTGAAAACACAAATACAATTTATGAGTCAATCAACTTTAACTGGCTTCTTACAAGTATGTGCATCCTCAAAGCAGTCACAAAGACCACTGTCCCAGTCTGTCAAGGGTTTCTCTGCCATTGTGTGCCAAGATGCTATAGGATTGCTCTGTGAAAGTAGAGGAGCGGGTAAACCAAAGTTAAAGAAATGCATCTGCAGAAAGAACCATCTGTTGTGTAGGACATCTAGGCAGTAGATGATCAGATTAGATTCTGGAGCACCTTGTAGCAAAGCTTGTTCATCAGAAACCTTAAATTCTTAAAATATTTGTTCCAGCGATCGCTAAGATTAACTACGAAAAATAGAAAGAAGAAGAACACTGTACTGTATGTTGGCTACAATTCAAATATATATATGTAAAAAACAAGCTTTCTACCTCAGAAAATTACATAGTTCCTTCGATTAGAAGCAGCATCTTTTTATGGTTGAATAAACACAAACAAACTGAAACTATAGGCTCGGAGAAATGAAATGAAAAGTGCATTGTCTGTAATTCTTCAGTTAAATCTGATTTATACATCCTTGATTCCAAAGACTAAGATTGAGCATTAAAAACACAACAGCGTCAGACAGAAAAACACCAGAAACACCACGAGGTAAAACACTGACTTTCCTAAAACATCCAAGTTCATTTTAAACAGTCACGAGGTTGAGAGTACAGTTCAATATAACCTGACCTCTACACAAGACATCTTACAGTCTGCAGCCCTGCATATAATTCACCTTTGCAGATAAACAGTTACCAATACAGAGGGTCAATAATAAACAGGAAAAAAAAACACTCATCTCTTTCTAAGAATGTATCAATTTACATAAACTTACATACATTTTAGTCCCTCTGTCATCACATCTCCTACAGCGTTACACATCTAGTATTACACCGTGAACCATAAAGGAATCACACTAAACGGTAAATGATGTAAATTTCATTGTAGAAAAGTGGAAGGTCTTACCTGGTCTTGCTGGACTCCCTGTGTGCACCTGTGATAAGGAATATAGGAAAGGATGTACCTTGTGATGGGAGTGGCTTAGAGTTGCCATTGGCTTGACACAAAAATGCTGCAAAACCTGAAACTATAGAAACAGAGAAAGGAAATCAAAAGATCATGCCCAGAAGTTCCTCTATATTTTTAATGAACTTTTCTCTTTGTGTTTTAAGTGCGTTCAAGTTCATTTTAAGCATACAAACAAATGCAACATCTATGTCTGTTGAAGATAAATGTCAAAAAACATACACATAGAAATTTACTTTAAAAAAAGTTTCCTTTTATTGTTGTTGTGTTTCTTAAAAAAACAAACAGAAACTGCTGATAATAGTCATGATCATGTTCAAGTCTCAGGGTGTGACTTAGATGTGACTGTTAAAGTACACAGGTACGTTAAATTTCTCCAGATTTTTTTAGGGGTCTGATAGTTTGAATAAAGACATTTAGCTGTCATATCAAAAGCAGCGTCAGCTTTGTAATTCAAGTAGAGAATCAACAGTTTCTTTATTCATTCATGTATTTATTTATTTTGAAATTTAGTACCAGCTGTTCCTTCCTAGTTGTTTTATTGTGTTTGAATCTCTTGGTTCAAGAGATCCCCATGTATGCTGCTATCTGCGTTCCCTGTCTTTGTCCTTCGTCCTGTTTTCCAGTCCCTACACAAACACACACACACACACATATAAAAAAAATTCCCCACTCGCCAGAGGCCTGGGAGCTTGAGGGTCCTGCGCAGTATCTTAGCTGTTCCCAGGACTGCGCTCTTCTGGACAGAGATCTCCGATGTTGTTCCCGGGATCAGCTGGAGCCACTCACCTAGCTTGGGAGACGGCTGTAGTGATCGATGTAGCGGTTCCGAATGACAGCAATATCAGGAAGAAGGAACACGAGAAGCTGGAGAAATACCAAGGGCTCAGAGAAGAGCTCGAGAGGATGTGGAGGGTGAAGGTAACGGTGGTCCCCGTGGTAATCGGAGCACTAGGTGCGGTGACTCCCAAGCTAGGCGAGTGGCTCCAGCAGATCCCGGGAATAACATCGGAGATCTCTGTCCAGAAGAGCGCAGTCCTGGGAACAGCTAAGATACTGCGCAGGACCCTCAAGCTCCCAGGCCTCTGGTAGAGGACCCGAGCTTGAAGGATAAACCGCCCGCAGGGGCGTGCTGGGTGTTTTTTTTGTATATATGAGAGAGAGAGAGAGAGAGAGAGAGGGATATATATATAGAGAGAGAGGGATGGGGAAACTCAACAAACTGGTCAGGAGGACCAGATCTGTCCTGGACTGTCCGCTGAAGTCCATCGAGCAGGTTGGAGAGGAGAGGATGTTGTCTAAGCTGACATCCATCGTGGACAATACCTCCCATCCCCTGCATGAGCACTGAGCTGCTCGTTCAGCAGTAGACTTTCACTCCCGCAGTGTAGGAAGGAGTGCTAGCAGCTGTCAGACAACCAGCTGTAACACGTAACACAGTTTACCATTTTTTGGTTACTTACTCATCAGCTTGTTTGCCCCCCCCCCCCACACACACACACACACACACACACACACACACACACACACACACACACACACACACACACCCCCCCACACACACACTCTCGTGTACGTATCTCCATTCAATGTTTATACATATTTCTGTACATTGTTACCTGTATAACTTCAGTTGCTTATGTATATGGACCACTTTTTTTCCTCCTTCTATATTTTATATTCCCCTTGCTGTAAGAGCAGTGTAACACCCAAACTTCTCGTTCGCAGGACAATAAAGGTTTATTCTCTTCTATTAAGAGCGGCTATGCCTCCATTACACCACAAGAGGGAGTATATCCTAAAGGATCAGATCAAGTTGGAGTAAAGAGGCCAGGCCATTCACTGTTATACAAAAGTCTAGAGATTGTGTACAGAATTTGTAACAATGCGCGATTTCTGTACGTTTGCAGGTAAGCAAGCATAAAATAGTCAATTTGATCTTGGTGTAAGGTTACGTCCATAGGGTGTTTATAGTGCATTTATGGGGGGCATCAGTGTAGATTAGCAATGGTAATAATTATCAGCAGGTAAAGCTAATTCACCAGTCATTTTACCTACCTTGTGGCTGTGGCAGTTTTATTTGTGTACCTAGGTGTAATCACAGTGACACAAGACTCTGAATCACAGTAATCTAGTGGTTATCAGTTTATTTTTGTTCTGCTGTAAGTGTTTGTTGTTCTGAGTTTGAAACCGGTCAGGCCACTCACTGTCACACAATGTATACAACAACACTCTAGAGACTGTGTACAAAATGTGTAATGATGCATTATGTCTGTATATTTGCAGATCATACTGTAATTGTGGACTCATTTTAATCCAACATTGCCGTTGTTCTCCTCTGAAGATTTGCTCTCAGCTGGAAGCCCACCAAGCCAACCATGTTCATGGGTGCATCGGTGACTTTTTACAGAAAGACAAGCATTGCTTCCTTGCTTGTCATGACATCATAGATTCATATGGTGGGATTAAACAGATCTCAAGTAATCATGAAAATCATAGCATCACGGACAAATTGATATTTATGATCTCTTAGACAAGTATTGAAATAGAACATTTCCATTTAGGTGTTTTTCACATTTGCATGACATTACAACAACATTACCCGTGACTGTGGGCTGATCTTGTTTACAGCATGTTTTGTTTTTCATGTAACAGGACTTTGGGGTTAGATGGATTTAGTTTGAGATACTTTTACATATACAAAGTTAGTATGTCTAAAAAAGTTACAGATTCACAGAGATTTAAGAACTTAGTAGAGTTCACTTTTATTTTTGTAGATGTGTTTGAGGGTCATTGATCTCAGTTTCTCAATTGTCATGATCATCATTATTGTAGCATTAAAATAATTAACTTACATGTCACGAGCTAGCTCAGAGAGGCAATGAAAACCATGCATATATAAAACATACGATGCTTGTCTTGAGTGTATCACAGCAGAAATCTTTAGAGGGAAAAGAAAGGTCAAAAGCAAGACTGTCATAACCAAATATCAATTAGTTTGGTGAGACCAAACATAACTGATCTTAGAGGACAGATCACACCAACGAGGAGCAACCTCAGCACGAAACCATAACAAACTCTCAATTTTTCCCAGTGGGTGTAGGCTGCATGTTGACGACATGGGTGCCGTGTTTGCGAATTTTTAACTCGCGATGCAACTGGCACCAGGTGCACCACACACAGACACAGGAAGTGGCGATGTCCTTACAGATAGAACCCTGTAGAGAAATATTCTGTAACTATACTCATTTTACTACTTGTACCATTTCTTAGTTAGTAATTTACCAGTGGGAGCCTAAAAAATATCTGATTGTCAGAATAATATTTTTATTAATAAGTGTTATAGGGTTTTACCTGGATGCCATATTTGTGTCGAACGCCAACCCTCAGACCCAAGGCAGCAGGAGGCACAAACAGTGGTATCCCAAAGGCTGATAACACAGCGGGGCTGCAGATGTCACATAATGGGAGACAGCGGTTCTCTTCAAACATTCCTGCAACGGTACAGGCGAGGCAAGGGCAACACCAGAAACCATAGCAGCCTGGAAACAATATTTATGTTTATTTATGTTTTAGTACATTATCTAAATGCAGCATAAGATGATAAAAGGGAAATATAAATAAAAAAATTCTTTGGTTGCTTACAAGATTTTATGTCGTCACAACAGCCAAAGAGGCCAGTATTCCAGTTGGCTGTCATTGTTGTTGACTGGTTACTGTACCTGTTAATACATGGAAATCAGTACCAAGCAAGAACACCTAATGCAAAACCTTCACGTTTAGCACATATTCCTCATTAAGAGGCTGATTTAACAAGACAAAGAACAAGTTTTGTTTTCTAAATGTCATGTGACTTCCCTCACACCCAGTTAGCTGCACCTCTCTGAGCCCAGCTCTGCTGGAGGTTTCTTGGTAAAAGGGAGTTTTTCTCCCCCTGTGCTTGCTCACAGGGGGTCATCTGATTGTTGGGGTTTTCTCTCTATTATTCTAGGGTCGTTTGCTTTACAGTACAAAACACCTTGAAGCAACTGCTCTTGCTATATAAATAAAATTGAATTGAACTGAATTGAACATCAAAAGGTATCTAATGTACACTAAGTGAATATGTTTGCAAGTTAAAAAGGAGTGGGAAGAATAGAAGAATTACTGGGATGGCACTGGACCATAGGCAAATCCCTATAAAAAAAATCTTTAAATCCCAGCTTGACAGCTATTTCATTTGTATGAAGACCAAATATTTATGACCTCATGGTATTGCATACAATAAATGCAACTTTGACTGTGTTGTTTTGATGAGTGATATCTAAGTGTTGCACACTCAGAGAGACATGACTTCATTCTCTTTATTCTCCTCACTTCAGGTTTGGAGTTTACAGGCAGCATAGCATATCATCACCAAACAATGCTCTCAAACACTGGTTTATTTTCTTCTGCGCTTACTGATGACATCACAACTCTGAACTCTGACCTCCTAGAAATAGTGAACTAAAATAATTCAGCCCTCCATCCATCCATCCTTCCATCCATCCATCCATCCATCCATCCATTTTCTTCCATTTATCCGGGGCCGGATCGTGGGGGCAGCAGCCCAAGCAGAGAAGCCCAGACCTCCCTCTCCCCAGCCACCTCCTCCAGCTGTCCAGGGGAACACCAATGCGTTCCCAGGCCAGCCGAGAGATATAATCTCTCCAGCATGTCCTGGGTCTGCCCCGGGGCCTCCTCCCAGTGGGACATGCCCGGAACACCTCACCCAGGAGGCATCCTTGTCAGATGCCCGAACCACCTCAACTGGCTGTGGAGCAGCAGCGGCTCTACTCTGAGCCCCTCCCGGATGGCCGAACTTCTCACCCTATCTCTAAGGGAATCGCTACCTTATCGTGGTGGAGGGGTTTGTGTGTCTCAGGGGTCCCAGGGGCTATGTTGTCTG